CAATGACCAGTCCCATCACTGCAGGTTTATTTATACAAAACTCTGTCTATATTTTATAACTATCTCTAGCCTGCACCATTGTTGATAAAGCAGAGGCAGGCTGTAGTTTTGCAGCTGAACCCAGGTTGCTAGACACAGTCTAGACATTAGTCCCCCAGCAGAATGAGGACATCCAGCTCTGCATTTGGGTCTCAATAAAACAATTTGGAACCTAGAATGGGTCAGTTATAGTCCCCAAATAAAGACTTTGGTTATGTATTCTATGGTTTGGGTGGCTGAAAGCTCAATCAATCTAAGGGGTAATTATTAGTGACGAGCTTGAACAAAAAAACACCTAGCTCATTACTTTTGAATTCTGGGTTAAATCAGATCAGGACCAAATCTGAACATTACCAATGGTTCCTACTTCTATACTGGACTAAACAAAAACCTGGATACATATGCCAGCACTCTGAGCACCTCCACTGTGGGGAAAGTATCCATTACAATCTTAACTTTGTGCTGAGGCTCATCTTGAATTGTCATCAAACCTGAGTACTTGTGCACTGAGCCTAATCCTTTAGGCAGTAAAGAAGTCATGTTATAAAGACTGGTTTTATAACAAAAGCACAGACAAGCTATTGATGGCTGGGATGTTGCAGGAAGCATTAGGGAAAGGAAACCGGAACCCAACATGGCAGCCAGATACTTACTCATATTTGAAGAGGTGATTTGCTCAAGGCAAATATGCCCAAACTTACCTTTTTATGGCTTTGTAGCAAATGATGACAACTACAATGAGGAACACTAGCGTGGCGCAGCATACTGCAATGATAATAATCAGGCCTGGCCACCAGGTCCCCTCAGGCGGGCAGTAGGTAGACTTTGTAGCTGTAAAAGATAACATGAAATACATATATGCATTCTCTTAAGTATGTATTTTATAATCAGATATGCTTTATTCGCCTGGAATACAGCATTATTACATCAAGGTCTTAGACATAAACAAAGAAGTTATTTTACATACAGGACCTTGTACTCAATGTGGTTTGAGTACTACGTAGTATAGCAGGTAATCGAGTGCTGGCCACGACACTTTGTGCTACTCCATCATCCAACACCTTGCGCTCAGAGAGAAGGGGGAAGGCACAGATCTGCTGCTAGCCATAATCTCTTTTCTGTGAGCGATTGTCATCTCTTGCAGCAAAGGCTTTCATTTTACAGAAAGGCATCACGCTGATAAGCGTAGGCTTTTAAAAAAATTAGAGAAGGTTTATCTAGGAGAAGTGGCACGACTTCCAGCCAAAGTTAGAGCTGTTATCATCATTATTAACCTTGGATGGAGGGCAGGGTATTGGTTTTAAAAAGAACAGGAGTTCTATTACATTTATTAATTGCTTTTGGAGGACTTGATTTGCCAAGCTTTTTAGTTCTACTGCATTTCACTTTGAGACTTTTGGTCTGTGTACATGCGTTGGTGTGTTGTTTATAAAAACATAAACTACAAGAGACGTAAGGTTATTGTTAAAGGACTAGATTCTGCCTATAGGCACTACCCAGAGTAAGAAATAACTTGCCCTAGAAATAATATTAAGAGGCATTTAACTCAGAAGTATTTTTGGAGCTATGAGACACCTAACTACACAGTAGCCTAGTTTACTGTGCAGTAAGCGCACACATCTACACATGCATGTGCTTACTGCACAGTAAAAACCCTTAATCACACACAAATTTGTTACCAACAAACTCAATCAAAAGGTCTTATAATTTGGATCTCAACTTTTGGCTCAAAACCACAAGGATACACTTGACTCCATAGTTAGAGAGAATATTTTTATTACAGTTCACTCTTTCCAGAATTAGGTAAGCAAATAAACAATGCCATTCACCAATGAATCAAAGGACGTCTCTTCCAAATGATGTTCAATCATTCTGTACATTGGACCCAGTTTTCCTCAAAGCTCCACCAGTTTAAATTAAGTCTTTGATGTTATGTAGGTGTAAAATAGGTGCAAGTAAGGAATCAGACCAATCATATGTGGGTCTGATATTCAGATGGAGATTACAACTGCCTCAATCTACTCTTGCCTGTGTTTGCTTGCTTCCCTTCTCAGACCTGATACAGAATATTCTGCATTCGGAAGTTCGTCTAACTTCATTCCAACCATTCTTGTCCGATACAAAAATCTTGCCTCTCACATAGTTTCTGGACCATCATGGTTACAGCATAATGTATAATTAACCACCTTATACAGTCTTAGAATCATAGAAAATTAGGGTTGAAAGGGACTTCAGGAGGTCATCTAGTCCAACCCCCTGGTCAAAGCAGGACCATACCCAACTATATCTTTCCAGCCAGGGCCCCCTGCCAGCTCATTGGCTATGTCCAGATGAACATGGCTGTGCAGTATGTGGTGCTGCAAACATGTTTTCAGGGCCAGGGTGCCAATGCACCCTGCTGCTACTTGTCTCCAGGGAACTAAACATTGAGGGCAGATTTGCTCTCAACAGGGTACATTTGTAGATGCGCTCTCAGGAAGGCTTCCTGGGCAGCATTTTACTGTGCAATAAGCCTATATCAAATAAATAGCAGGTGTAGACATGCCCTCCATCCATCTTTCATCAACTTCTCAACTGCAGCACAAAGCATAGGATGAAAAGCATTAGAGAACTGAAAATATGTTTTAAAAAGGTACATGGGAAGATCCAAGTAATTATGGCAAGTCAGCAAGATATTACTTCTGGCAAAATATTAGAAGAGCTGATATAGGACTTAATAAATAAAGAGTTAAAAGAGATTAATTGATGCAATTTAACATGCCTCTTAAAAAATAAATCTTGTCAAAATAACTTGATACCACTTTTTAATGAAATTACAAGTTTAGCTGATGAAAATAACAGTCTTGGTGTAAGAGACTTCATAAGGCATATGACTAGGTCTCAGAAAACATTTTGTTTAAAAAACCAGAATGATACAAAATCAACATGGCATACATTAAATGGATTGAAAACTGATTATTTAATAGATCTAGAGATGTAACCGCAAAAGGAAGGACTGTATTCCCACAGAAATCTTGTTCTTGCCCTTGGAATAATTTAATGGTTTTATCAAAGTCCTTGGAAAAATACAAAATAATTGCTAACAAAGATATTAAATGATAGAAAGATTGATAGCGGTAAATAATGAAGTCGGTGGGTCAATGCTCTATACAGTAAAATCCCTGTTATCCAGCACTCTATTATCCAGAACACTCTACTAACTTGAATTTCCAACTGGCAGGCTGGACACGGGGGGAGGGGGGAGCTCACATGCAATAGCTGCCACCGCCACCTACCACCCTTCAAGGTTGTTGCTCCGTGCGTGGCCGCTAGCCCCCACATCCTGCTCCACCGTCGGCTGCCTCCACTCTCCCCTCCTCCGCCCTCCCTACGCCACATCTGTCTGGAAACCCATGCTCCTCAGGTAACCAGCATTTTTAGATATCCAGCACCCCCATTCCCTACTCACGCTGGATAACAGGGATTTTACTGCATTAGTTAGTAAACTGAATGTAAAAAACCCAATACGGGCTTTACTGTATGGCAGAAGGCAGGCTAGGTATGCATTTTATAGACTGACTAAATCAGAGATGTATACAGCATAGTTTTCATGGGCTTAAGCTCATTTCATCAGATGCTGGCCGCAAAAGCTTATGCTCTGATTTAGTTAGTCTATAAGGTGCAAATCTACCCTCCCTTCTGCCTGACTTCAGACTAACATGGTTAACTGCCTCTTTTTCAATGTATGGTTACATCCACGTTCAGGGATTGTAAATTGTCTTTACAGGATATGTAATTTCATGGGTTGCACTGATCCTAAGAAGACTTCAGAACATGGACAACTGGTGCCTCCTGACTCTGGTGGGGCACCTGTGGCCAATCGCTGACTGGGGGAGTGGGGGTGTCCCCTAGTGGCCAATCACCGACCCTGGAAGCACTGGCAGCAAAATCAGAAGTGCTGCTGGCAAAACTGGAAGTGCCGCCTGCACTTCGGGGGTGGAGGGGGGGCACACCAGCCAGCACTCCCCACTCCCCAGCCAGTGAAGGCCAATCTTGGGGGGTGGGGGGGAACCATGTGCTTTGCCTATGCTTCAGGACCTTGCTGGATAATGAACTGCCAGTACGGTGCTATGGCAAAGAAGGCTAATGTGATCATTTGACCCATAAAAAAAGAAATATATCACTTCTATGATTGGCACTGATGTAACTACTACTTGAACACTTTGTCCATTTCTAATCTTCACACTTCAAGAAGGATGCTGAGAAAATAGAAAAGGCTCAGAGAAATGCCATAAGAATGACTAAATAGTTAGAAAACATACCCTTACACTAAAAAACAAAAGGGGCTCAATCTATTTAGCTTGTCAAAGACAAGATTAAAGGGACTAACCACGATGTATCAGTGGAAGTATCAATGGAAACGGATAAAAGAGGGCTCTTTCACCCGGCAGGCAATTATAATAAGGTCCAATTACTTAAAGGTAAAGTTTAACAAAATTAGACTAGAAATAAGCGTTATATTTTAATGCTAAGGCTAGGTACAGACAGGCAAAAAGCCCGAGGCTGAACTGATTCAGTCTTTGCAGGTTAATTTAAGCTGCACAGATTAAATTGAAACAGAAGTGAACAGACATTCACCTTTCATTCAGGAAATGCAGACACATGCCTGCAGTGGCTCAGGCCAGAAGCTGGGGACACTAGAGAACAGCTCTCTAGCACATAGCCAGCATGGGCTCTCTGTTTGCTTCCTCTTCCTGCTGTCCCCAGGGTCTCTGGGATTTGCAGTCCAAAATTACACCAGCAGGACTCTGCAGGGTTGCTCATCATTTCCTCTTCCTGCTTCCAGGTGCCTCTGGGATTTGTAGTCCACAGTCACAGCCAGCAGTACGTTTCAGTGGAGGAAGGGATGCTTAATCCCCCTCCCTGGCCCCAGGCCCCAACTGGGACTTGTCTGGGGGGGTAGTTCCCCACATCTGAAAGAGCTGCACCCTTAGCCGGGCTTGCCCTGTCCTCCCCCTTGTCAGCCAGCCCTCACTGCCCCAGCTAGGAAGCAGAGGGGCTGGGCCAGCCATGCTCTCTGAAGCAGACAGCATAGCCCAGCCCAGGGCTACAAAGCATGCTGGGATGCTGGTGGACTGTGATTTAACTTGAACCAGGAAGGGGTTTGAGACAGAAGTTTCATAAACTGGTTTGACCCAAATCAGTTAAGTCTGATACTACATTCAGCCAGGTTTATCTTAAACCAGTTTCAGCCATTTTGAAACTGGTTTATGTGCACTGAACTTCTGTTCTGTTACAGGTTTAAACTAATTTCTGATCACTTACATCGGTTTATGTGTAACTTCTATCCCTAGCCTCTGGGTAATTAAGTAGCTAAATTCATAGATTTCATAGATATTCAGGCTGGAAAGGACCCCAAAGAATCATCGAGTCCATCCCTCTGCCCCAGGGGCAGGAAGTCAGCAGGGATCATAGGATCCCAGAAAGATAAACATCCAAATGTCTCTTGAAGGTGTTCAAAGTGGGTGCTTGAACCACCTCTGGCAGCAGTCTATTTCAAACCTTGGGGGCTCAGACAATAAAGTTCGTCCTTATGTCCAAGCTGAATTGGTCACGGTGGAGTTTGTGACCATTCAATCTTGTCATCCCTTGGGGCACTCTGGTGAACACCCCTGATAAACATATAGGTAGCCACCAGATCGCCCCTGAGCCTGTGCTTTTCCAGGCTGAAGAGTCCCATGGCTCTCAGCCTCTCATCATAAGGTCTGTTTTCCTGACCTCTGATCATGCACGTAGCTCTCCTCTGCACTCTCTCAAGCTTCTCCACATCCTCTTTGAATTGTGGAGCCCAA